TTAAAAACAAAAAAAATTTATCACAAAAACAGTTCCAGCAGCACAGAAAGGCCACAATGTTGGATGGATGGCCAGGTATACAATTGGAAAATAAATTGCAAAATGTGTACCAGCATGTTTGTGTTAATCCCATATTATGAAGTACGAGTTGTTTTCAGTAACTCAGTGTCAAATTTTATGGTATAGTTTTCTGTAATAATTACTAATTATCATCATATTGGCTTTCCGTTGTTAGACATTAATGCCAATTTCTTGACCAATTGGAAGTAAAACCAAGTATAACTTGTTTACATATCTAAAAGTAAATAAACAAAGTTAAAACTGGGTGGGTTGCCTTGAGAACCCATCTGTTTTGGTGTGTTGTTTTCTGAGTTCTTAGAAGTAAGTGCACACTATCTTAACTCTGGTGTAATTTTGAATATCAGAACCCTGAAGAATAGCTCTTACTAACAGACCTGGTGCATGACACAGTAGTTTGGGTGTGTTTCTATCTGACCAAATGATAGGCTTTGACCTGTTTTGAGACTTATCCGTGTCAATGGTACTGTCCATCTAGTGTGTAAACATAGTACTTTTAAATGAATTCAGTAGACTTATTCATTTGATCATTATCATCTGCCACACAACTGTGTTCCCTATTACATTAGTGTTCACTGTGAGATCTAGAATGACATAAATGTAAGCAAAAATGGTATAATAAATTATTTGAGCCTAAGCCTTCTTGTATTTGAAATATTGGGAAAGAAAGGAAGAAGAAAATAATCAAGAATAGAAGAATTAGGCATATGCAAGATAACATTCTGTTTCCATTGTTACTTTAGCACATCAGTATTCCTGTTGTGAAGATGTCACATCTTTTATCAACAGGACTGCCAAGATGACTCATCTTTTTGCCAGTTTCTGTTTGCTATTGTAACAATAACTCTTGCAGTCCACTGGCAAAGGCCAAAAATTAACTTAGGAATAAAACAAGGATGCTGTGGCTCAAAAAACTTTGTATTAGGACACTGCTAGCTTGAACCTAGGAGTCAGCATTTAGGCTTTGAGTTTAAGCAGAGACTTTTCCCTTTTTCTAAAATTTATGATCTATTTGCAAGCATTTTCACAAGCCAAAGCCAAAGCCAAAGCCTTCTCTTAAAATTAATGATTGAAAAACCAAGGTATGTTAGTTAACATTTTCTTTCAATTATTAAGTTTCATTGTGGCAACTTCAACTTCACCTTCACCTAACTTCTTCGCGCAAAGTGGCACAGAAGGCCTCATCACTGAAACATATTTGTATATTCATCTCTCATCTCGTACCTATCCTGTGTATCCGTGTATGTAAGCTATGTTCGCGCTAAAAATCTAAAGGTGGGAGGATAACCGTAACTCCACTGACTCACCTCTACAAGTTAACATTTCTCACAGTGCTAGTTCCTCTCATATTAAATAAGTCGTGCTGGTTAGACATGGTCGAAATGTAAATGGTATTTTTGACAGAATAATTGAAGACAAGTACGCATGCGTTAAGGGTGTCTGGAATCACGAAATCACGAAATCAATTGACCGTGAAGATCTGGGAGAAAGCCGTTTACCAACAGGCTACTGGAAAGCGCTTTTTTAGTTATTCACCATACGGGATAGCTGCATACCCACAAATATGTCGTAGAAAAGCCGGTTAAGACAACAGGAAAAAGAATGGAGTCTTTTATTAAGATTAAAGAATCATATTACGACATTCATAAAATTAACCAGGACTCCATTCACGAGCGATGACACATTGATCTCTATAGTTTGAAAGGTTATGGAGTCGCATTACAACACTAACCAGGACCCCAATAACTAGCGATGATAAGTTGATCCCCTACAGTTTGACATGCTTTCACACATTCCCAATAGACCCGGGGAAATAACGCTGCGGGAGATGATACTTGCAGTAAAAGCCATATCCGTCCTCTCATGTTGCCTCCGTTTAACGAAAAAATCGCCTGCAGGCTACCACTCTTTCTACGGGCCTACCAATGATCGATTATTGCAAAAATTTCAAGAGGCGACTTCACTTCGTTAGGTCTGAGTATTATTCATAATGCACATTAAAGGAAGAAAATACTTATTGTTGATTTAAAAACACAATAACCGTCAGCCGGCTAAGACGCTGAATTGAACTGTCAGCCGTCAAAGTCGCCGAAAAGAAACGTCATCCGTCACCGCTTTCTTTAAGTCGTTTGCGTGTTTTGCTTTAAAAATACCAACTTAGACAACAAAGCCTGATACGAAAATAATGTTTGTTCGAGACAGAACAATGCCCCAAAGGAAATAACTTGTCTTTTTTTGTAACTCTGTGTTTTTGAGACTGACTTTATCAGAAAAAGCCAAGAAAAAATTTAAGCGAAGACACAATTATCAAACCTAATAATCCAGTAAAAAGAGAAGCGTCATAGGGCAGCCAACTTGATATGCAAGAGAGTTTGCATTTGTGCAAATAACTTGATGTTCTTAAAAGAAACATGCTACGACCCAGTATTGTTCAAGGTGCAAACTTCGGGTCAAACAGTTGACAGAGGTTACTATTGTTCTGACTAAGACGATGCTTTATGCTGAAAATATTGCGAAATTAAGAAACAGAAATCCAAACATAACCTTATTCGTAAGCTGACACTTGTCAAATGCTTTAAAAGATTATCACAAGAGGGTGAGTAGCTTCTACGGGAGAAGAAGAAAACAACAGTAATTAGTTAGTGATAAACATATGAAAAAAGACATCTAGAATTTGAAGTTCCTTTTCTGAATATCATCTAGATTGTCACAGAAGCAAACAAACATACTCAGAATGTTAATTTTAATTTTTTTCTAAAACTTTATAACTCCAAAGAATTCTAAGGACTTGACCCTAAAGGCACAACGTAACAATTTCCCCACCCCCATCAACTGCTAGCAAAGTAAATTAATAGGAGTATCTATTCTCAAATATCCCTCTTTTCGGCGACAGTCACAACTGGCGCGGGTAGGTGTTGTCCTCGAGCAGTTCTGAATTGGAATTATCAGAAATTTTGTTGGGTAAGTTTCCACCTAAACGTTCCTAGGAATCTCAATTTTGACCAGCTCACGAGAGTATAAAGTGAGAGTACCGATTACAGGTTCACGGCCTACATGAGCCACCTGCACTTACCACTTGCCTAACTCGTGCGTACTAAGAGAACTATTAGTAAGATTTTATTTCATGCGGATTCGAGTTAACTGAGTTATTTGAGAGACGATGACTTTCCTTTCCTCTTGGAATGCGAAGCTAAAGAATGTTCTTTTTTTAAACACAATCAGATATCTTCATTTGTCTGGCACCCTAAAGCTATGCGGGTTACTTCGTGCGATGAAAACTCTACGGCCTCCAACAGAAACCTCTTAGTTCCAGTTAATGAAGTGTGTCGTTCACTAGCTTAATAGGAAGTTCAAGCTGTCAGGGCGGCGACGCCTGTGAAAACATCGCTTAAAAATTGAAGTTTTGTTTCTCCTGCATGTGTATTTTACGAGTGTTCGATTTGTTTACTGTCTATAATGGCGTCAGATCTCCCCTGCAGCCCAACACGGGAATGCGGCTCAGAGTTCAAAAAAGTGAATAATTTGTTTTTGTGGTTCTCGTTCTAAGAATGCGCAAATTTAGGCGATCTCATCCTTTTCTTTTCAATAGGGCGTCCTGCGAATGTGAAGAGTCTTAAAACGCACTCGTTAAGTTACTGTTTACTTCATAGAAAATTTCATTTCGCCGCCTTTTCGTCGCCGTGTCCGTCGTAGTTCTCTTAAAGTCCCTAATAGCAACCTACGAACGACGAAACAATTCAGTTCCAAAAGTTGTGTAAGGAATAAGAAGCGAGAGATTGGAGATACGATAAGCAGCACTAGGTAACATTACATTGCAACAGTAGAAAAATTTTTCAGAATATTGGTGAATTTTCAAGAGGAATACTGCATTCGTGGTCAGTTCTACCGGAGTGAAAATTGTCGATCAGTAAGGGGCGCGAAGCAATCGAGATTTGTTGTGCCGGAGACACAACACTATTGCCAGACTTGAGCACATCTTACTGTTTATTTTTTCTTTCTGAAAAATATTGCCACCAAGAAACCTAACACCCTGCATGAACTGAGAGCAAAGCTCATCATACTGAACGCAAGAACACTCACGTGAACTTCACATCTTGAAATAGCGAGTCGTTTCCCTAGCAATAATATAGTGCTTGCACTGACTTTTAAAAGCTCCTCAGAAATACACAAATGCAACTAGGTTTTGTGTTTCTGTTTAAACCAAACTGACATGTAAAACGACACGGATGTTTGTGGTAGATTAACACCGAAAGCTTCTTTAAAGACAATGATTCCACTCGATTTTTGTCGCTTTTCTTTTGATGTATTTTTATCCATTTATTATTTCTTGTTGAAATGTAATATTTCGATTGTTGTCGGCCCTGGCGTGACTAAATCTTCGTCGCGACACATCCTAGGCCTGTTTTGACATAAACGTCAGCTTTTCCAGAGTCTCCTTCAGATTCTCTGATAACACTGATGTCCATCAGTGTGAAAACAATAGGGCTGCTTTTGTGGAAAAAACTGAATTTACAATATACCCCAGCAAATTGAGGTGACTTGGTTTTTTTCCCGTTGTATGGCCAAACCGTCAGTGTTTCTTAGGTCAACTCAGGAGTTTGCGTAACTATTAAACTGAAAAGAAAACAATGTTCTGCAAATACAAGTCATGTTGATTTAAAAACAACCCACTTTACAAACATAGCAAGTGTCGGTCGGTGAATGGTCAAGATCTGAAGTTTCTCGTTTCTGTCATTAAAGTTAAAAATAAAGCAATTCAGAGAGTTAGGAATGACCTGTGAATGAATGCGTTGACATTGGAATTATGAAGTAAAGTCGTTATCTTTTCGCGTTGCAATGTCCGTTTTGTCGATACTTCCTCATTTTGAACACTGAGAATTTATCAACCCGCCTTTTCTATAAGACCTCCACTCCCGCTTGGACTCGGAATACTTAAGAAAAGATGTCCTTTAGAGTAGTCTCTTCTAAATTTAAAATTTGTAATTTTTTTTTTTCGTGCACTTTGCTTTTAAATTACCAAGTTTCTGAGATTCTCTAAAAGATCATCCTCTCGTGTGAGACTGCGGTACAGCCAAAGACATCCAGTTAAGCCTTTCTTTCTTCTTTTCATTTTTCAAAAAACCAAAAGCAACTTGGAAAATGCAAGTAAAGAAACGATCCTCTCAATGAAATGTAATTAAAGAAACTGCAGGAAAGAATCCTAAAGAAAATTCAGGCTTCGCTGGGATTCTTACCAAGATACTAACTGGGCGCGTCACCACCAACTGAGTTACAAAGCAACATGTTAGCCTGCAGTGCAGGCGTTTTATCCTCCCCCACCCCTACCCCTCTCCTTATTTTTGACCGTCGGCAGCCCCCTTGGTACAAATTTCTTTCTCTCCCCAGCCTTCCGTTGCCATTAAAATCAAAGATGGCGGCCATAAGTTTCGTTAAGAAGACACTGAACACTCGCCAAAATTACGCCTGCTCTGCAGGCTAACCAAATGTAGAAAGTAAAGCAAATTTTAATGAGAACTTCTTTCTCAGAGAGAGATCTGCTCACAATTAAATCAAATTAATTCATAGTTTAATTTTGATCATTTTTGAAGATACCACTAATGCTATATATTTTTTTTCGACAGTTTGAACCGATAAACATAAAGATGTCTAAAGCTAAGCGTGTCTGTGTGATCGGTGCAGGTCCCAGTGGTATGTCAGTATTGTTTCACTTCAATAAATTGAAAGAACAAGGCAAAGAAATTCCTGAAATTGTGTGCTTCGACAAGCAGTCAGATTGGGGAGGGCTCTGGAAATACTCCTGGGAAACTGGTAAGTACATAGTTTTCAGGGGCGCGTCGACACACTCTTTTACATAGCCTATGTATCTATTCATTTGATCTTGTTATGTCCTTCTGGTAAAAAATAGCATTTCCTTAGTGTAGATGAGGTTTAGCCACTTGGAGGAGGTGCCAACTGTGTAATACGTTCTTTTTGTTTTCTTCTTTAATGTGCAGCGTCGACATCGCACCTAAAATAACGCCACTAGGAATGTGGAAAATGAGTGTGGGACAATATGAGCTGATCAGTGCTTCTGAGTTAAGGGGAAGGCAGAGAACATAAAAAAACATGTTTTTTTGCGACATCTTAGAGTCGATTTGAAAAGCGGACTTGGTAGACCATTTGTATGCATACTGAGAAAAAAAAGGTTAAAGCAAACAATTATTTGAATTGAAGAAAAATGAACACAACTGTATGATTTAATTCTTTTTTGTTATTGTTGTTTTCAGGTATCGATCAGTTTGGTGAACCCGTCCATGGAAGTATGTACCGAGGCCTCTGGTCGAATGGTCCGAAGGAGGCTTTAGAGTTTCCAGACTACACGTTCGAAGATCATTTCAAAAAGGCAATTCCATCCTTCCCACCCAGAGCGGTTCTCTTTGATTATCTACAAGGTAAGTAATCTTTCCATCTCAACAAGTTACCTAATGGTTAGGCTCTGCTCCTGATTTCGATCACGCTTATTCATTTATTTATTAATTTTTTTTTTCATTGTTGTGACTGGTTTTCCCAATTCCGTGACGAAAAAGAGTTATAAAGCAGGCCTATCTTTTAAGAGCAAAAGTAGCTGTAGACAAGCGATGTAGAGGTTATCGAATTAACACACAGCTATTGGCGCGTAACTTAACAATTTTTCTGTTACTGAATCTTTTATCAGGTCGTTGGACTAAAGGCGATCTTCGACACTGGATTCGTTTCAATCATGCCGTCCGCCAGGTGACCTACAATGATGACACTGACGACTTTTCAGTGGTTGTCAAAAGCCTTGGCGAGGACAAAGACCTTCCTGTTCAGAAGTTTGACTACCTTATTGTAGCGACTGGTCACTTCTCTGTGCCGCACGTTCCCTCTTTTCCAGGAATAGAGGAGTTTCCTGGTCGCGTGATGCACTCGCACGACTTCCGAAATGCCTATCAGTTCCAAGGCCAGACGCTCCTCGTTGTCGGCTCCAGCTATTCTGCTGAGGATATCGCTTTGCAAAACCTCAAATATGGCGCTAAGAAGATCATTTGCTCCTACAAGACCAGGCCGATGGGCTTCAAGTGGCCCACTGAGATCACTGAGAGACCACTTGTAACAAAGATCGTGGGCAAAACTGTCCACTTCAAGGATGGTACCACTGCCGATGTGGACGCCATCATTTTGTGCACCGGCTACTACTTCCACTTTCCGTTCCTTGAAGAGCGCCTCCGACTGAAGGCCAGGAATATCTTGTACCCTGCCGGGATGTACAAGAATGTGCTGTGGACCGAGGCTGGCAACAACAAGTTTTTCTACATTGGAATGCAGGACCAGTACTACACTTACACCATGTTCGACGCGCAAGCCAAGTGGACCGTGAACTGCATCACAGGGGAGCTCAAACTCCCTGACAAGGAAGCCATGAAGAAGGACATTGAGAAATGGATCGCAAAGTAATAAATTATAGAGAAATTTGCGAGGGCGAATTGCTGCACGGATCTTCGCCCCTTCAATCTCTTTGACTGCTCTAGAAAATTTGGTGTCGCCCTTAGATAGAAACTGAAACCAACCGCGACTCAACCAATCAGAATCAAAGCTTAACCCAAAATCATTCATTGCACAATCGCGTTTTCCCGTCATTATGCCAGATTGCTTGTGTTTACTTTGAGTTTTCATCGGCTTCTTGTTCCTTTGATACTTTTATTCAAATGTTACGACATACCCACTCAATCGAAATGCACTCAACAGGACCTTTTTTTGATACGTTGAAAACAGCTTCGTTGCTGTCGAAAGGGAGCCCCGAACGTGTAGATATTTGGTAATCCTGGCTTAAAGTATTAAATATATTCCTTTGTTTTTAGATAAGAGCTGTAGACTTCAAATAAGCGAACCAAATAATTTCAATAGAAGAAAAACGAACACTTAGCAGATCAGTTACAGAACCTGTCACGAATCATACTGAAATGGAAGTTTTTCATTTTTTCCTTTATAATTTCAGGATGAACGAACTGAAGGACTGCCACGATGATATAAATTTCCAGACTGAATACTTGGTCGACATCGCCAAGGATGCAAACTACGGATATGACCTGGACACCGCCCAACAGTTCCATGACTGGGAACATCACAAACATGAGGACATCCTCACTTACAGAGATCGAAGCCACGCAAGCAAGTTTACTGGAACCCAGTCCCCAATTCACCACTCTACATTCATGAAAGCCCTTGATGACTCGATGGCGACTTTTCTGAACACCAAACGCTGAAATACTACTGGCTGGAAACAAATAAAGTTAGGCGTTTCTGAGGTGATTATTGTTTTAGTGTGATTTTTAAAAGCACCAAGGACTATAAAGGAAAAAGGTTATGTCGTTGTGAAAAAACATTTTATTCTTGAGAGAGGTGTTGTTATGATTGAGATACTTCGTATACTGAAACAAATTTTTAAGAATCAGCGGTACTAAATCATGATTTCGATGTAAAACATAAAGCGGTAAGTTCTGAAAAATAGCTTCAATCGTTTGATAGTTAAATGATTTAATAAACTGACAGCGAAAATAATTGTAGAAAAGAGTGTCGACTTTAGTTCCATGTTTACTTCCTACTGGCTCAACAACTCCCAAAAAGGGAGAGAGTACGATGAAATAATCGTAGGGGCCTAACCGGTTATAACCAGCTTCATCTTTTTCTCCAAAAGTTGTCTCTGTTTTCCTGGAGAGAGATCCTCAGCCATCTCTCAATCACTGCGATTTTTTGTGAAGGCTCAGACAGTTACGGGAGATCTAGCACGTTAGATCTTCACTCCCGAGTTAGCTTAGGCAGATTCATCCTTAACTACTATATTTAAAAAGATCGTGACAATGGTTTTAAGTACAATCTCCTCAGTTAAAACCTAAAGTGGGAAGCGGTTAAAAACAGATGATAGACACCTTTCGTATCCATCTTGCAAGTTTTGACATAACGACTTCGAAAAGCTAGTCTGAAATCGTTTCTTCATCGAGAATTAATTTGGTGTCCGTTTGCCGATGACGAAATGGAATGACAGGGTACATTAAGAAGGACTGGGATGCAGAGATGTTATCATAGAGGGATAGATAGTTTGTTGAACAAAGTAAACTTCCATCGCCTGCTAAGTACCAGCACACCATCACGGTCGATTACGCATCAAGGGCTTATTTCAGACCTTTCACAAGCTTGAAACAATTAAATCGATGGCCTTCACATAGCTTGTTTAGCTCATCTTGTTCTGTTTTTTTCTTTCCCTTTTTCACTGCCAAAGGCAAGCTGAAGTGTTGCCACACTGGAAACCCACCTCTTTCCCTCCCCCAAAAGTAACCTTACCCCTCTCCTAAAGGGTATACGAGAAGAACAACCCACCCCTTTCCCAAGGTTAACCTTACCTCTCTCCTATGAGGTCTTTGAGAATAAAAACCCACCTCTTCCCCTCTCCCAAATGTAACCTTACCCCTCTCCTATGGGGTCTTTGAGAAGAACAATAACTGTTGGACATTGTGACTTCTTTGGTAGATTCTATCTCATGACACTGGCTATTTGTCCAATGAAATGAACGAGAAAAACGTTAGTTAGATGCTGTTGCCATATTTGACATGATGGTGATCCCCTCTTGGTCCCTTACTAGCCAATCGAAGAAAACCTTGAGCGGGAGGGCAAACTCTCTTCTTTCTACCGAAGATATGTAGAAGATATGCTCACCGTCATGCCAAATATCGCAACAGCATCTAACTTTCTGGAAACGCTTAACAAGGCACATTCCTCCGTAAAAGTTATGATGGAAACCGAATCCAATGGCATGCTCCCATTTCTGAGTATCCAGTTATTCAACCGATGGCCTCAAATAGAGATACTATGGTGTACGTAAACCCACTAATTCAAGTCCACTCTTGCACAATCAGAGTCATGTTAACAATCGGTGTAAATAGGTTCTACTAAGAACTATGCTTGATCAGGCACATCGTTTATCCTCATCTTAGTCACATTTTCTGACGAATGTGACCGTTTGAAGACAGTATTCTCACGTCTGAGGTACCCCAAAAACCTCGTTAACTCTACCATCCAAAGTTTCGTTGACTCAAAGGCTTGTGACCAGCAGCAGCTTTTGTCGCCATCTAAAGAGACAGAAGACACGGTTCGAGTAATTTTGCTATTTAGAGACCAAATCTCAGCAGATATTGTGAGAAAAACAACCAAAGGATCTAGGCCTAAAAGTACACACCACCATCCAGCCTGCGTTTGTGAGCCGAGAAATTGAACAAGAACTACATGTCAAGGAAACAAAGCCACCTATTGTAAATCAGCAGTGTGTTGTTTACAGTTTTCAATGTGACCTGTGCGATGCGGGTTATGTAGCTGGTACACACTCGGACATTTACATAATCGTAGAGAAGGACCCGCTAAAAAAAACAATCCTCCGCCATTGCCAAACACTACAAGAACGTGCACGGGACGATGCCTCTGGACCTGCTAAAGCGTTTCGAAATGCTCAAGAAATGCAGAAAAAAAGTTTACTGTTTAGTGTACGAAATGCTTTTCTAAGAGCTTTAAAGCCAAATATCAACGTGCAATCAGACTCCATTCGGGCGAAAGTATTTTCATAATCTTCGTACCCTTTGACTTTAATTCTTCGCGCCAAAATCGGTTTAATGCTGTAATTTGCACGATCTTTTACATATTTTACAGTGATAATGGAGTCATGACAACTCCGAAACGTCGGATTTTATCGTTCGTTTTTACCTTTTTATATTTAAAGAAGTCTTTTTAATACGAAATGAACTAGTATTTTAAAACGGATGTTGAATTGTATACAGTTAAATGAATTAATCTAATTTTTACTTCAAGGATATAACACCAAAAAGAGAAGGAAAACATATTAATTGCACTCTAAACATTTCTTATCCACTCCTTCTGAAAAAGTGTGCAATTTACCTTTCCACTTATTTCTTAACTCAGGTGCCTTGATAAGTAATAGAAATGACACCAAACTGTAAATCTGTATTCATTTGTATTTCAGTTTACCTTTTCACAGAATTATCATTTATATAATGCAGCTTTCACATCATTTCTTACAATTGTGTGATCAGTTAGAAATTACAGCTTCCTCTCTGTCCTGTCACTTAGTGCATGCATACGTTTTAAAATTCAGCCGCCCAGCTAGTGTCTACGCATAAATAACCTGTCTTTGTTCAATGAAGCGGCCTGGAAATATAATGAGTTTTAAAACAGACTCTTTGAGCCATATTGTTTGGTTCATAGAAAAATATTTCGCCTCCTTTCTTTGCCGTGGCCATCGTGGTTCTCTTTAAGTCGCTAATAGCAATCTGAGAATGAAAAAAAACATTCAGTTTCACAAGTTGGGTGAGAAATAAAGAGCGAAAGATTGGAGTACGATAAGCAGCACTAGGCAACATTACATCGCAACAAGAAATATCATTTCTGGTCAGTTCTACCGAAGTGAGAATTGTCGATCAGTTAGGGAAGCGAAGCCATCGAGATTTGTTGTGCCGAAGACACGACACCATTACCATACTTAAGTACATCTTGACAATCTTATCAGGTCTACCGACTATTTTGTCTTTGTGAAAATTATTGTCACCAGGAAACCTAACACCCTGCATGAACTGAAAGCAAAGCTTATGATTCTGAACGCCAGGGCCCCCCAGATACTAAATGTTCCCCAGACACTAGCTGGGCGTCACCACTGTAAAAAAAACCGTTGAAAAAAGTGTGCTTTGTTCTTATAAATGGGTGATCTAGACATGCTAAACAAAACAAAACTCTCAAAGTAGAATTTTGTGCCAAGTTGTGCTAGTTTTGTTAATCGGTGTAGTTCAAAACGGGCGTTTGAGCGCTGAAAGGATTTTCGCTCAGAAGAAAATTATTTTGCTATATTTGAAAAATTATAGGGTGCATTATGGGTTGCATGTCATAGACGGGTAGATAGTTTATTGATCAAAATAAATATTCATCGCGTGCAAATTACCAGCACATCATCATGGTCGACTATGATAACAGTAGGCGCATCAAGGACCTATTTCAGACTTTTTCACAAGCTTTAGACCATTAAATCGATGACCTTCACATGGGTTGTTTAGCTCATTTTGTTTGTTTGTTTCCCTTCCTTTGAAGGCAAGATGAAGTGTTGTCACACTGGCAACCCCACTCTTCCCCTCCCCTATTTGTAACCACCTGCACTTACCACCTGCCCACCTCGTACGTACCACGAGAACTTTTAATAAGATTTTATTTCATAAATATTGCATTCGTAGTCAGTTCGACTAGAGTGAAACCAGTAAAGGGTGCGAAGCGGTCGACTGAAATTTGCTGTGCCGGGGACACAAGACTATTGCCAGACTTGAGCACATCCTGAGAATCTTGTCAGGTTTATTGTTTATTTTGTCTTTGCGAAAATTATTGCCACCAAGAAACCTAACACCCTGAATGAACTGAAAGCAAAGTTCATCATACTGAACGCAAGGACACTCACGTGTACTTAACATCTTGAAAGGGCGCGTTGTTTCCTCGGCCATAAAATAGTGCATGTACTTAACTTCAGTTCCTCAGAAGTACGCAACTAGAATTTGTGTATGTTTCTGTTTAAACCGAACATATTAAACGACACGGATGTTTGTGGTAGATTAACGGAAACCTTATTTAACGACAATGATTCCACTCGATTTTCGTTGATTCTCTTTTAATTTATTTTTAACTATTCAATATTTCTTAGTGAAATTTAATATTTCGGGTACTGTCAGCCCTGGTGTGACTTAATCTCCGTAGCGACACGCACTGTTTTGACATAAACGTCAGCTCTTCCAGAGTCTCCTTCAGATACTTTGATAACCCTGATGTCCATCAGTTTGAAAACAATAGGGCTGCTTTTTGTGGGAAAAATTGACTTACCCTTGGAAACTGGGGTGATTTTGTTTTTTCCGTTGTATGGACAAACCGTCAGTGTTTCTTAGGTCAACTCAGGAGTTTGGGTTAATTTTTAAACTGAAAAGAAAACGATGTTGTGCAAATACAGGTCATGTTAAAATGAAAACAATCCACTTTACAAACACAGCAAGGGTCGATCGATAAATGATCAAGGTTTGAGGTTTCTCGTTTCTGTTATTCAAGTTAAAAATACAGCAATTCAGAGGGTTAGGAATGACCTGTGAATGAATGCGTCGACATCGTAATTACATCGTTATTTCATGGCGTTGGAATATCCGTTTTTCTCAACACCATCTCATTTCGAACACTAAGAATTTATTAACCCGCCTTCTCTAGAAGACCCCTCCCGCCCGCCTGGACTCGGAATACTTAAGAAAAGATCTCCTGAAGACTAGTCTTTCTTTCTGTGGTCTAAAAGAGACTCTTCTAAGTTTAAAATATGTAATTTTTTTCTGCTTTCGCACACTTTGTCTTCAAAATACCAAGTGACTGGGCTTCTCTGATAGATCATCCTCTTTTGTGAGACTACGGTACAGCCAACGTCATCCAGTTAACTCTTTTCCCCTCTTTCTTTTTCAAAAATCCAAAAACAACTTGAAAAATACAAGTAAAGAAATGATCCTCTCAAATGAGCTGTAAGTGAAAGAACTGCAGGAAAGAATCCTAAAAAATTTCAGGCTTCGCTGGGATTCTTACCCAGATACTAGTTGTCCCCTAGATACTAGGTATTCCCCAGATACTACTTGTCCCCCAGATACTAGCTATCCCACCAATAAACTAGTTGGGTGTCACCATCAAGACACTAGTTGTCCCGATGGTAATAGTTGACCCCCGGATACTAGTTGTTCCCCAGATAATAGTTGGGCGTCACCATCAAGACACTAGTTGTCCCCAAGGTAATAGTTGCCCCCCGGATACTGGTTGTTCTCCAGATACTAGTTGGGCGTCACCCCCAAGATTCTAGTTGTCCCCCAGATAATAGTTGTCCACCGGATACTAGTTTTCCCCCAGATACTAGTTGTCCCCTAGATACTAGCTCCGCCACCATCACTTCAATAAACTGAAAGAACAAGGCAAAGAAATTCCTGAAGTTGTGTGCTTCGACAAGCAGTCAGATTGGGGAGGGCTCTGGAAATACTCCTGGGAAACTGGTGAGTACATATTTTTTAGTGGCACGTTGACACACTCTTTTGCAGAGCCTTTGTTTCTAGTCATTTGATCTTGTTATGTCTTTCTAGTAAAAGTTGCATTTTCTTGGTGTAGATGAGGTTTAGCCGCTTGGAGGAGGATCCAACTGTGTAATATGTTCTTGGCGTTTTCTTCTTTAACATGCAGTGTCAACATCGCACAAAAAAGGGCGCCGCTAAAAATATGGAAAATAAACGTGGGGCAATTTGAGCGGGTCAATGCTTCTGAGTTAAGGGGAAGGCAGTGTACTAAAAGATAAAATTTTTTTGTGACGTCCTAGAGTCGATTTGAAACGCATACTGAGAAAAAAAGGTTAGGCAAACCATGATTTGAGTTCAAGAAAAAATGAAGACAATACAATGATTATATTCTTTTAACTCTTTTCTTTATTCAGGTATCGATCAGTTTGGTGAACCCGTCCATGGAAGTATGTACCGAGGCCTCTGGTCGAATGGTCCGAAGGAAGCTTTAGAGTTTCCGGATTACACGTTCGAAGATCATTTCAAAAAGGCAATTCCATCCTTCCCACCCAGAGAGGTTCTCTTTGATTATTTGAAAGGTATGTAATCTTTCCATCTCAACAACTGACCCGTTGTTTAGCTCTGTTCCTGATTTCGATCACTGTTTTTTTTTCTATCGTTGTGTTTTTCCTAATTCCGATACGAAAAAAAAAATGACACAGGCCTACCTCTTAAGGGAAAAATTAGCCGTAGACGGGCGATGTAGAGGTTATAAAATAAACACACAACTATTAGCACGTAACGTAACATATTTCCTCTCACTGAATCTTCTATAAGGTCGCTGGACTACAGCCGATCTACGACACTGGATTCGTTTCAGTCACGCCGTCCGCCAGGTGACCTACAATGATGACACTGACGACTTTTCAGTGGTTGTAAAAAGCCTTGTCGAGGACAAAAACCTTCCTGTTCAGAAGTTTGACTACCTTATTGTAGCAACTGGTCACTTTTCTGTGCCGAACGTTCCCTTTTTTCCAGGAATGGAGGAGTTTCCTGGCCGCGTGATGCACTCACACGACTTCCGAAATGCCTATCAGTTCCAAGGACAGACGCTTCTTGTGGTCGGCTCCAGCTATTCCGCTGAGGATATCGCTTTGCAAAACCTCAAATATGGCGCCAAGAGGATCATTTGCTCCTACAAGACCAGGCCGATGGGCTTCAAGTGGCCCCCTGAGATCACTGAGAAACCACTGCTAACAAAGATCGAAGGCAAAACTGTCCACTTCAAGGATGGTACCACTGCCGATGTGGACGCCATCATTTTGTGCACCGGCTACTACTTCCACTTTCCGTTCCTTGAAGAGCGCCTTCGGCTGAAGGCCAGGAATATCTTGTACCCTGCCGGGATGTACAAGAATGTGCTGTGGACCGAGGCTGGCAACAACAAGGTTTTCTACATTGGAATGCAGGACCAGTACTACACTTACACCATGTTCGACGCGCAAGCCAAGTGGACCGTGAACTGCATCACAGGGGAGCTCAAGCTCCCTGACAAGGAAGCCATGAAGAAGGACATTGAGAAATGGATCGCAAAGTAATAAATTATAGAGCAATCTGTCCTGGAATATTGAATGAATCATCGCGAATTCCTGCGCGGGTCTCGTCCCCCCAGTCCCCTCGACTGCTCTCGAAAATTTGGCGTCGCCCTTAAAACTAATCAGATGGAAACTAAAACAAACCACTACTCGACCAATCAGAATCAAAGCTTAACCCAAAATCATCCATTGCACAATCGCGCTTCCCGCCCCATTATGCCCGATTACTTGTGTTTACTTTGTGTTTTTATTGGCTTCTTGTTCCTTTGATACTTTTATTCAAATGTTACGACATACACACTCAATCGAAGTGCACTCAACAGGAACTTATCTTGATACGTTGAAAACAGCTTCGTTGCTGTCGAAAGGGAGACCCGAACGTGTAGATATTTGGTATCCTGGCTTAAAGTATTGAATATATTCCTTTGTTTTTAGATAAGAGCTGCAGACTTCAATAAGAGCACCAAAAATTTCATTAGAAGAAAGGAACCACTTAACGGATCATTTACAGAACATGTCACAAATGATACTAAAATGGAAGTTTTTTATTTTTTCTTTCATAATTTCAGAATGAATGAACTGAAAGACTGCCACGATGATATAAATTTCCAGACTGAATACTTGGTCGACATCGCCAAGGATGCAAACTACGGATATGACCTGGACACCGCCCAACAGTTCCATGACTGGGAACATCACAAACATGAGGACATCCTCACTTACAGAGATCGAAGCCACGCAAGCAAGTTTACTGGAACCCAGTCCCCAATTTACCACTCTACATTCATGAAAGCCCTTGATGACTCGATGGCGACTTTTCTGAACACCAAACCCTAAAGTTCTACTGTGGCTGGAAACAATAAAGTTAGACTTGTTTTGGTGTGATTTTTAAAAGCACCGAGGACTGTAGAGGAAAAAGGTTATGTCGTGGTGAAAAAAACATTTTATTCTTGAAAGAGGTGTTGTTGGGGTTGAGATACCTCGTGTGACTAAAACAAATTTTTAAGAATCTGCCGTACTAAATCATGATTTTGATGTAAAATTTAAAGCGGTAGGTTCTGAAAAGTAACCTCAATCATTTAAAAGTTAAATGATTTAATAAACTGACAGCGAAAATCATTGTAGAAAAGAGTGTCGATTGTAGTTCCATGTTCACTTTCTACTGGCTCAACAACTCCCAAAAAGGGAGAGAGTACGATGAAATAATCGTAGTGGCCTGACCGGTTATAACCAACTTCACATTTTTTCTCCAAGGTTGTCTCTGTTTGCCTGGGAAGAGATCCTCAACCGTCTTTCAATCACTGTGGCGATTTTTGTGGAGGCTCAGACAGTTGCGGACGAACTAACACGTTTGATATTCAATCCCGAGCTAGCCTGGGCTGATTCGTCCTAGATTACTATCTATAAAAAGATTGTAACAATGGTTTTACGTTCAATCTCCTCGGTTAAAACCTAAAGTGGGATGCGGTTCAAAACAGATGATAGACGCCTTTCGTGTCCATCTTGCGAGATTTGACATAAGAACTTCGAAAAGCCAGTCTGAGATTATTTCTTCATCGAGTATTAATTTGGTGTCCGTTTTTTGATGACGAAATGGAATGAAAGGGTACATTAAAAAGGGATTGGGGTACAGAGATGTTATCATAGAGGGATAGATAGGTTGTTGATCAAAGTAAACTTCCATCGCGTGCTGATTACGAGCACACCATCATGATCGATTATGACAACAATATGCGTATCAAGGGCTTATTTCAGGCTTTTTCACAAGCTTTAGACCATTAAATCGATGGCCTTCACATAGCTTGTTTAGCTCATTTTGTTCTGTTTTTTTTCTTTCCTTTTTTCATTACCAGCGGCAGGCTTAAGTGTTGTTACACTGGCAACCCACCTCTTTCCCTCCCCCAAATGCAAACTTGCCCCTCTGCTATTGGGTATTTGAGAAGAACAACCCACCATTTTCCCAAGGTTAACCTCACCCCTCTCCTATGGGGTCTTTGAGAAGAAAAATAACTGTTGGACATTGTGACACCTTTGGTAGATTCCATTCCATTTGTCCAATGAAATGAACGAGATCCCTTACGGGTAAATCGAAGAAAACCTTGAGCGGGAGGGCAAACCCCCCCTTTTTTCTATCGAAGATATGTAGACGATTCGTTCACCATCATGCCAAATATCGCAACAGCATCTAACTTCTTGGACACTTTTAACAAGGAACATTCCTCCGTAAAATTCACGATGGAAACCGTATGCAATGGCATGCTCCCATTTCTGGGTATCCAGTTTCTCAACCGATCGCCTCAAATAGAGATACTATGGTGTACGTAAAACCCACTAATTCAAGTCCACTCTAGCACAATCAGAGTCATGTTGACAATCGGTACAAAAAGGGTCTGCTAAGGACTACGCTTGATGGAGCACATCGTTTATCTTCATCTTGGTCACATTTCTTTGGCGAATGTGACCGTTTGAAGACAGTATTCTCACGTCTGAAGTACCCCAAACACCGGGTCTCGTTAGCTCCACCATCAAACGTTTCGTTGACTCAAAGGCTCGTGACCAGCAGCAGCTTTTGTCACCATCCAAATGACAGATGACACGGTTCGAGTAATTTTGCCATTTAGAGACCAAATCTCAGCAGATATTGTGAGGAAACAACTAAAGGATCTGAGCCTAAAAGTACACACCACCATCCAACCTGTGTTTGTGAGCCGAAAAATTGAACAAGAACTACATGTTAAGGAAACAAAGCCACCAATTGTAAATCAGCAGTGTGTTGTTTATAGTTTTCAAAGTGACCTGTGCGATGCGCGTTATGTAGGTAACAAACGCGAACATTTACAAAGTCGAAAAAAAAGGACATGAAAACAATAATCCTCCGCCTCTTCTTTGTGCAAGCGTACACTGGGACAACATAGGTGCACTCTCCGACTGCTTAATGGATAAGTTTGCCCCGCTTAAAACAAGGACTATGGTTAATCGTCCAAATGTCCTATGGTTTAATGATGACATTAAACAACTCAAGCGTCAACGTCGTCCCCTTGAAAAGAGAGCCGTGAAAACTGACCTCCCTGGTGACTGGAATAATTACCATAGAGTTCGTAATCAGTACTCTGCATTTCTTAAATCTGCACGTGTGAATTATTATTCGAACCTAATTGATCAGTGTGTGGGTGATTGTCGCAAGTTATTTCGCGTGGTTAATTATTTGTGTAGGGAACCACTTGATACGGCTCTTCCAGAGCACACTGACCCCACAAAGCTAGCAAACGAATTTGACACCTTCTTCCTCAAAAAAGTTGAAATCATAAAGGAAAATCTTGGACTCATTCCTGTTACTCCTAAGGAGAATCTGGAGAGTTTTTCCGCGCTATCTATCGAAGAAGTGTCTAAGATTGTTCGAGAATCCTCCAATGCCTCTTGTCGGCTGGGTCCTGTTCCTATATGGCTACTGAAGTCCTGTCTTGATGTATTAGCGCCCCCTATCACTGAGATGGTAAATCTCTCTCTTCTCAGTGGCCACGTTCCAGAATATTGGAGAACCGCCGTTGTCTCTCCTCTACTGAAAAAACCTGGACTTGATTTGGTCTATAAAAATTTCCGTCTAGTCAGTAACCTTTCATTTATTTTCAAGATAGTGGAAAAGGCTGCACTTCAACAACTTCTCGTCCACTGTGAAAAAAAATGCTCCTCTCCCTAAATTCCAGTCCAGCTTCCATAAGTATCATTCGACAGAAACTGCTTTATTAAAGGTTCAAAACGACATCCTAATGAGTATGGATAATAAAGCAGTGACACTTCTCGTACTTTTGGACCTCAGTGCTGCTTTTGACACCACTGAACATTCCATTCTTCTGAACATCTTGCAACAGGATGTTGGAGTCGTCGGGACTGCTTTAAATTGGTTCGACTCATTTCTTTCTGGTCGCAAAAAACCTATACTTGTTGGTGATAACACTTCTGATGACTTTAATCTGAACTGTGGAGTCTCCCAGGGTAGTTGTATGTGGCCTATTTTATTCACTCTCTGCGTCCCCCGCCTCTTCAACATTATTTCTCAGCATCTCCCTTCCGTCCATGGTTATGCTGACGACAACCAGATTTACCTCTCCTTCCGACCTTGCTCTATCCATTCCGAAATTAACGCTGTCTGTGCGATTGAGATGTGCATTGCTGATGTTCGTTCTTGGTTTATTGCTAATCGTTTAATGATCAACGACGCAAAAACTGAGTTTCTAGTTATCGGCACCGGCCAACAACTTAAAAAGAACATCTATTGAATCTGTTATTATTGGTGACACCCTCATTACACCTTTAGAAAGCGTGCGGAACCTTGGGTCCTGGTTTGATACCCATATGCGAATGAACGTTCATATAGGCAAGATTTGTAGCAAGGCTTTTCGCGGATTATACAACACAAGACAGATCAGAAAATTCCTTACTGTTCAATCGACTAAGACACTAGTCCACGTCTTCATATCCAAACACCTTGATTACTGTAACGCACTTCTCTTCGGTCTACCTAAATATCAACTCGATCGCTTACAGAAAGTTCAGAATGCTGCGGCTAGAGTGATTCTTCAGATTCCGAAATTTGATCATATCACACCTGCACTTATCATGACCTACATTGGCTCCCATTAACGTTCAGAATTCAGTTTAAATTGCTCCTCTTTATCTACAAGTCATTACACAACCAAAGTCCTCCCTACATTAAAGATCTTTTGTCCCTGAAACCAGTTACTAATTATGCTCTTCGCTCGTCTGCTCAATCTCTTCTGTTCGTTCCAAAAGCCAACTGCTCTTCTCTTGGGGATCAGGCTTTGCTCATGCTGCACCTGTTTTATGGAACTCGCTGCCACTAACTATAAGAACAAGTAGTAGCCTCGCCATTTTTAAAAAGAAACTTAAAACATTTCTATTTAGGAAAGCTTTTAGTTTCTTTCAATAGTTCTAATGTTTCTGCCTTTGAATATTTTAGTTTTAATTAGTATAGAACTTTAACTTATGTAAGCGCTTCTGAATATTGTTTATAGTTTTAGCGCTATATAAATTCCTTATCATTATCATTATCATTATCGTCAAACTCTACAAGAACGTGCACAAGACGATGCTTCAGGACCTGCTAAAGCGTTTCGAAGTGCTTAAGAAATGCAGAAAGAAGTTTGACTGTTTAGTGTACGAAATACTTCTTCTAAGAGCTTTAAAGCCAAATCTCAACGTGCAATCAGACTCCATTCGGGCGAAAGTATTTTCATAATCTTCGCACCCTTTGAAGCTAATTCTTCGCGTCAAAATCGCTTTAAATATTGTAATTTGCATTTTTTTTTCATATTTTACCTTGATAATGGAGTCATGACAACTCCGAAACGTCGGATTTTATCGTTCGTTTTTACCGTTTTATGTTTAAAGAAGTCTCTTTAATACGAAATGAACTAGTATTTTAAAACGGATGTTGAATTGTATACAGTTAAATGAATTAATCTAATTTTTACTTCAAGGATATAACACCGAAAAGAGAAGGAAAACATATTAATTGCAGTCTAAACATTTCTAATCTAATCCTTATGAAAAAGTCTTCAATTTATTTCTTCCACTTATCTCTCAACTCAGATGCCTTGATAAGTAAAAGAAATGACACCAAACTGTAAATCTGTATTCATTTGCATTTCAATTTACCTTTTCACAGAATTATCATTTATACAATGCAGCTTTAACATCATTTCTTACAGTGGATTGTGTGATCAGTTAGAAATTACAGCTTCCTCTCTTTCCTCTCACTTAGTGCATGCATAATTTTTCAACTGTGCCAGTTTCTATTCATAAATAACCTGTCTTTGTTCGATAGGGCGGCCTGGAAATGTAAGGAGTTTTAAAACGCACTCGCTGAGCTATTGTTTAGTTCATAGAAAAATTTGTTTCGCTACGTTGCGTTGCCGTGGTCGTCGTGGTTCTCTTAAAGTCCCTAATAGAAACCTCAGAACGAAAAAAAAAATTCGGTTTCACAAGTTGTGAAAGAAATAAGAAGCGAAAGATTGGAGATACGATAAGCAGCACTAGGTTACATAACATCGCAACAAGAAATATCATTTCTAGTCAGTTCTACCGGAGTGAAAATTGGCGATCAGTAAGGGGAGCGAAGCCATCGAGATTTGCTGTGCCGGAGACACAAGACTATTGCCAGACTTGAGCACATCCTGAGAATCTTATCAGGTTTACTGTTTACTTTGTCTTTGTGAAAAGTATTGTCACCAAGAAACCTAACACCCTGCATGAACTTAAAGCAAATCTTATGATACAGAACGCAAGGACACTCACGTGTATATAAAATCTTGTAAAGGCAATTGTTTAGCTAGCCATAATATAGTGCATGTACTTAACCTAAGTTCCTCAGAAGTACACAAATGCAACTAGGTTTGTTTTTCTGTTTAAACCGAACATTTAAAACAAGGGTCCCCAATGGGTTTTCGGGATCCGTGATTTTCCCTTATTTAAAGGCTGGGATCTGGGAATTTAAAGCAAGAGGGGAACGAGATGCGAGATTGCTATCATGAACGGGACTAGGGAATCGGCGATTTTGAGGAGCGGGATTCGGGAAATAATCACTTCAACGAACCGAAAACCGGGATGTCCGTTGACGAGAATTTATGAACAAATTGATCTTCTCAGTCCACGAAAAGCACCAGACGAACAGGCTCCCTAACATTCAGGAGGCGGTCGGGCTGTTACCGTAATTTCCGGCCGTTTACCTGCGGGTAATCTGTTGATTTTGCATTAAACGCGCGCCACCGCGGTTAATAGGGAGGTGCGGGATATGTGACAATTTTAAAATCTACTGGTAGTTGAATTGAAAAAAAATTATCACCAACATGCGTTTCCACTTCTCAAATGAATTTTATCGTATTAAGAGTGCCGCAAAGCGGCACGAAAACATGATGCCGACTTGAGCTTATTTAATGCATAATTAGTTACGTGACGAACAAATTGCTATCGGCACGCGTAAAAACAAAACCTTGATGGTGACAAAAATAATCCAAAGATATCCGGCACATCAGTAACAAATTTCCATTTAACACTAGCTTGAGCTTAAGAGAATTTTCCCGTTTTAAGGGACTTGTTAGGCCCAGTAGAACCGGAGATATCGATTTTTTTTAAAAATCGCCGACAATACTTTATAATTCAAGTTTTAACACTCACCCAGCTCTCTTTCAACAAATCAACAGGGCGCTGAACGATCGCTCGCACAGAATGTGGCCACAAATTCGCATTCTGTCAAGTATGAAACGTTGAGATTTGGGCATGGGCGACTAGTGTTTTTACTGTATAATCTTATCAATAAAGTACATTCTAATATTGACACAGAGTTGTGCACGCGTCTGAATTTCTTTGACCTTTGACATAGACGCTTTCAAGTTTTCGAAAGTGAAACCAGACAACTTTTAAAAGACCGAAATGTATCACCTTAATGTCACGTTTTCGCCACCAAAAAGTTGAATAACATAACGTGCGGGTTATCCACCAGTGCGGGTAATTCGTTAACTTTTTTTTTCGCCGTATGCAATAATCAACCGTAAAATTAGGGTAAGCAACTCTCTCGAGTTATTGCGCGGCAATGAAAAATATTTCAGAAGCGAAATTGCCAATTTACCAAAAATCCCCCACGTTTTTCCCACCTGGCTATTAGTTTTTGTTAGAGTTCGTTTTCAAGCGGTTCTCTTTTATCCTTTTTGGAATTTAGCTCACTTTCTTCCTTATAATTTTCATATTTCAGTTTACGATAAGTACTTGGTCACCTCGACTACGTTAAGTAAAACGATTCAAGGCTTGTGCGCAAAATATATCTTCGCTTCAGTGTGTCTTTATTGGTGAAACTCATAGTTGTCGTCGAAAATTTGCTTCGCTTTTGTCGGCCGCTACAAGCAGAATTGTGTTCAATTTTTTTTTTATCTCCCTTGTTATGAAACTATGGAATCGCCGAAATCTTTCGTCCTCCAATGGTTGGGCGTCAACACCGACTGAGTTGCGAAGCCACATGTTGAAAGAGAAGCAACTTGTAATGAGAACGCCTTTCCCAAAGTGGGATCTACTAACAATTAAATAATAAAAATCAATAATTTAATTTTGAGCATATTGAAAATATCACTGATGTTATACATTCTTTTTTCGACAGTTGGATCCGATAACGTAAAAATGTCTAAAGCGAAGAGTGTCTGTGTGATCGGTGCAGGTCCCAGTGGTATGTCAGTATTGTTTCACTTTAATAAACTGAAAGAACAAGGCAAAGAGATTCCTGAAATTGTGTGCTTCGACAAGCAGTCGGACTGGGGAGGGCTCTGGAAATACTCCTGGGAAACTGGTAAGTACATAGTTTTTAGTGGCGCGTTGACACACTCTTTTGCAGAGCCTTTGTTTCTCTTCATTTGATCTTACTACTTCTTTCTGGTTAAAAGTTGCATTTTCTTGGTGTAGATGAGGTTTAGCCGCTTGGAGGAGGAACCAACAGTACAATAAGTTCTTTTTGTTTTCTTCTTTAACATGCAGCGTCAACATTGCACCCAAGATAGCGCCACTAGGAATGTGGAAAATAAACGTTGGACAAAATGAGCGGATCAGTGCTTCTAAATTAAGGGAAGGCAGAGTACAAAACATTTTTTTTTTTGCGAAATCGATTTGAAACTTTGGCTTGATAGACCATTTGGTTTGTATGCATACTAAGAACAAACGGTTAAGGCAAACAATGATTTGAGTTCAAGAAAAAATGAAGACAATTTAATGATTAAATTCTTTTAATTCTTTTCTTTATTCAGGTATCGATCAGTTTGGTGAACCCGTCCATGGAAGTATGTACCGAGGCCTCTGGTCGAATGGTCCGAAGGAAGCTTTAGAGTTTCCGGACTACACGTTCGAAGATCATTTCAAAAAGGCAATTCCATCCTTCCCACCCAGAGAGGTTCTCTTTGATTACTTGAAAGGTATGTAATCTTTCCATCTCAACAACTTACCCGCTGGTTAGCTCTGTTCCTGATTACGATCACTGTTTTTTTGGTTTTTCCTAATTCCGGGACGAAAAGAAAAATAACACAGGTCTACCTCTTAAGGGCAAAATTAGCTGTGGACGAGCGATGTAGAGGTTATAAAATAAACACACAACTATTAGCACGTAACGTAACATATTTTCTCTTACTGAATCTTCTATCAGGTCGCTGGACTACAGCCGATCTTCGACACTGGATTCGTTTCAATCATGCCGTCCGCCAGGTGACCTACAATAATGACACTGACGACTTTTCAGTAGTTGTCAAAAGCCTTGTCGAGGACAAAGACCTTCCTGTTCAGAAGTTTGACTACCTTATTGTGGCGACTGGTCACTTTTCTGTACCGAACGTTCCCTTTTTTCCAGGAATAGAGGAGTTTCCTGGCCGCGTAATGCACTCACACGACTTCCGAAATGCCTATCAGTTCCAAGGACAGACGCTTCTTGTGGTCGGCTCCAGCTCTTCCGCTGAGGATTTCGCTTTGCAAAACCTCAAATATGGCGCCAAGAGGATCATTTGCTCCTACAAGACCAGGCCGATGGGCTTCAAGTGGCCTACTGAGATCACTGAGAGACCACTGCTAACAAAGATCGACGGCAAAACTGTCCACTTCAAGGATGGTAGCACTGCCGATGTGGACGCCATCATTTTGTGCACCGGCTACTACTTCCACTTTCCGTTCCTTGAAGAGCGCCTTCGGCTGAAGGCCAGGAATATCTTGTACCCTACCGGGATGTACAAGAATGTGCTGTGGACCGAGGCTGGCAACAACAAGGTTTTCTACATTGGAATGCAGAACCAGTACTACAGTTACACCATGTTCGACGCGCAAGCCAAGTGGACCGTGAATTGCATCATGGGGGAGCTCAAACTCCCCGACAAGGAAGCTATGAAGAGGGACATTGAGAAATGGATCGCAAAGTAATAAATTATATAGCCATTTGTAGTGGAATATTGAATGAATTATCACGAATTCCTGCGCGGGTCTCGCCCCTTCAGTCTACTTGACTGCTCTAGAAAATTTGGCGTCGCCCTCAAAACTAATCAGATGGAAACTAAAACCAACCACTACTCGACCAATTGGAATCAAAGCTTAACCCAAAATCATTCATTGGACACTTGCGTTTTCCCGCCATTATGCCGGATTGCTTATATTCACTCTTAACTTTCATTGGCTACTTGTTCCTTTGATGTTACGACATACACACTCAATCGAAATGCGCTAAATGCGCTTTGCTGTCGAAAGGGAGATCCGAACTTGTAGATATTAAGCAATCCTAGCTTACGGTATTAAAGTACTCCTCTCCTTTAGATGGGAACTGTAAATTTCAAATTTCGGCATTTCATCAGAAGAAAAGTGACTACTGAACGGATCAGTTACTGAACATGTCACGACATATACTAAAATAGAAGTTTTTTATTTTTTCCTCTATAATTGCAGGATGAACCAACTGAAGGACGGTCACGATAAGATAGATTTCCAGACTGAATACTTGGTCGACATCGCCAAGGATGCAAACTACGGATATGACTTGGACACCGCCCAACAGTTCCATGACTGGGAACATCACAAACATGAGGACATCCTCACTTACAGGGATCGAAGCCACACCAGCAAGTTTACTGGAACCCAGTCCCCAATTCACCACTCTACATTCATGAAAGCCCTTGATGACTCGATGGCGACTTTTCTGAACACCAAACCCTGAAGTACTACTGGCTGGAAACAATAAAGTTAGACTTTTTTATGTGATTTTTAAAAGCACTGAGGACTGTAGAGGAAAAAGGTTATTTCGTGGTGAAAAAAACATTATATTCTTGAAAGAGGTGTTCTTAGGGTTGAGATACTTCGTATGACTAAAACAAATTTTTAAGAATCTGCCGTACTAAATCATGATTTTAATATAAAATTTAAAGCAGTAGGTTCTGAAAAGTAACCTCAATCATTTTAAAGTTAAGTGATTTGATAGACTGACAGCGAAAATCATTGTAGAAAAGAGTGTCGACTGTAGTTCCATGTTCACTTTCTACTGGCTCAACAACTCCCAAAAAGGGAGAGAGTACGATGAAATAATCGTAGTGGCCTGACCGGTTATAACCAACTTCACATTTTTTTCTCCAACATTGTCTCTTTTTTCCTGGGAAGAGATCCTCAGCCGTCTTTCGATCACTGAGGCGATTTTTGCGGAGGCTCAGACAGGTACGGACGAACTAGCACGTTAGATATTCAATCCCGAGCTAGCCTGAGCAGATTCGTCCCAGATTACTATCTTTAAACAGACTGTGACTCTTGGTCCGTTACTAGCCAATCGAAGAAAACCTTGAGCGGGAGGGCAAACTCCCTTTTTTCTATCGAAGATGTGTAGACGATTCGCTCACCATCATGCTAAATATCGCAACAGCATCTAACTTCCTGGACACATATAACAAGGAACATTCCTCCGTAAAATTCACGATGGAAGCCGTATGCAATGGCATGCTCCCATTTCTGGGTGTCCAGTTACTCAACCGATCGCCTCAAATAGAGACACTATGGTGTACGTAAAACCCACTAATTCAACTCCACTATTGCATAATCAGAGTCATGTTGACAATCGGTGTAAATAGGTTCTACTAAGAACTATGCTTGATCAGGCACATCGTTTATCCTCATCTTAGTCACATTTCTCTGACGAATGTGACCGTTTGAAGACAGTATTCACACGTCTGAAGTACCCCAAACACCTCGTTAACTCTACCATTAAAAGTTTCGTTGACTCAAAGGCTTGTGACCAACAGCAGCTTTTGTCGCCATCCAAAGATACAGATGACACGGTTCGAGTAATTTTGTCATTTAGAGACCAAATCTCAGCAGATATTGCGAGGAAACAACTAAAGGATCTGAGCCTAAAAGTACACACCACCATCCAACCTGTGTTTGTGAGCCGAAAAATTGAACAAGAACTACATGTCAAGGAAACAAAGCCACCAATTGTAAATCAGCAGTGTGTTGTTTATAGTTTTCAAAATGACTGGTGCGATGCGCGTTATGTAGGTAACACACGCGAACATTTACATAGTCGAATAAAAGGACATAAAAACAACAATCCTCCGCCTCCTCTATGCTTTGTGCAAGCGTACACTGGGACAACATTGATGCACCGTCTCCGACTGCTTTAACAAGACCCTTACTGACTTACTGGATAAGTTTGCCCCGCTTAAAACAAGGACTATGATTAATCGTCCAAAGGTCACATGGTTTAATCATGACATTAAACAACTCAAGCGTCAACGTCGTCGCCTTGAAAAAGCCGTGAAAACTGACCTCCTTGGTGACTGGAATAATTACCATAGAGTTCGTAATCAGTACTCTGCATTTCTTAAATATGCACGTGTGAATTATTATTCAAACCTAATTGATCAGTGTGCGGGTGACTGTCGCAAGTTATTTCGTGTGGTTAATTATTTGTGTAGGGAACCACTTGAGACGGCTATTCCAGAGCACACTGACCCCACAAAGCTAGCAAACGAATTTGGCACCTTCTTCCTCAAAAAAGTTGAAATCATAAAGGAAAATCTTGAGAAGTTTCAAGTTCAAGAACCTGGAATCATTCCTGTTACTCCTAAGGAGAATCTGAAGAGTTTTTCCGCGCTATCTATCGAAGAAGTGTCTAAGATTGTTCGAGAATCCTCCAATGCCTCTTGTCGGCTGGATCCTATTCCTACATGGTTACTGAAGTCCTGTCTTGATGTATTAGCGCCCCCTATCACTGAGATGGTAAATCTCTCTCTTCTCAGTGGCCACGTTCCAGAATATTGGAGAACCGCCGTTGTCTCTCCTCTACTGAAAAAACCTGGACTTGATTTGGTCTATAAAAACTTCCGTCCAGTCAGTAATCTTCCATTCATTTCCAAGGTAGTGAAAAAGGCTGCACTCCAACAACTTCTCGTCCACCGTAAAAAAAATGCCCCTCTCCCTAAATTCCAGTCCGGTTTCCGCAAGTATCACTCGACAGAAACTGCTCTATTAAAGGTTCAAAACGACATCTTAATGAGTATGGATAATAAAAAAGTGACACTTCTCGTACTTTTGGACCTCAGTGTTGCTTTTGACACCACTGAACATTCCATTCTTCTGAACATCTTGCAACAGGATGTTGGAGTCGTCGGGACTGCTTTAAATTGGTTCGACTCATTTCTTTCTGGTCGCAAAAAACCTATACTTGTTGGTGATAACACTTCTGATGACTTTAATCTGAACTGTGGAGTCCCCCAGGGTAGTTGTATGGGGCCTATTTTATTCACTCTCTACGTCTCCCGCCTCTTCAAAATTATTTTTCAGCATCTCCCTTCCATCCATGGTTATGCTGACGACACCCAGATTTACCTCTCCTTCCGACCTTCCTCTATCCATTACGAAATTAACGCTGTCTCTGCGATTGAGATGTGCATTGCTGATGTTCGTTCTTGGTTTATTGCTAATCGTTTAATGATCAACGACACAAAAACTGAGTTTCTAATTATTAGCACCCGCCAACAACTTGAAATAAAAACTCTATTGAATCTATTATTATTAATGACACCTTCATTAAACCTTTAGAAAGCGTCCGGAACCTTGGGTCCTGGTTCGATGCCCATATGCGAATGAACGTTCATATAGGCAAGATTTTTAGCAAGGCTTTTCGCGGATTATACAACATAAGACAGATCAGAAAATTCCATACTGTTCAGTCGACTAAGACACTAGTCCACGCCTTCATATACTCACACCTTGATTACTGTAACGCACTTCTCTTCGGTCTGCCTAAATATCAACTCGATCACTAACAGAAAGTTCAGAATGCTGCGGCTAGAGTGATTTTTCAGATTCCGAAATTTGATCGTATCACACCTGCACTTATCGACCTACCTTGGCTCCCATTAACGTTCAGAATTCAGTTTAAATTGCTCCTCTTTGTTTACAAGTCATTACGCAACCAAAGTCCTCCCTACATTAAAGATCTTTTTTCCCTGAACCCAGCTACTAATTACGCTTTTCGCTCGTCTGCTTAATCTCTTCTGTTCGTTCCAAAAGCCAACTGCTCTTCACTTGGGGATCGGGCCTTTGCTCATGCTGCACCTGTTTTATGGAACTCGCTGCCATTAACTATAAGAACAAGTAGTAGCCTCGCCATTTTTGAAAAGCAACTTAAAACATTTCTATTTAGGAAAGCTTTTAATTGGTTTCAATTGTTCTAATGTTTTTGCCTTTGAATATTTTAATTTTAATTAGTATAGAACTTTAACTTATGTAAGCGCTTCTGAATATTATTTATAGTTTTAGCGCTATATAAATTCCTTATCATTATCATTATCGCCAAACTCTACAAGAACGTGCACAAGACGATGCTTCAGGACCTGCTAAAGCGTTTCGAAGTGCTTAAGAAATGCAGAAAGAAGTTTGACTGTTTAGTGTACGAAATACTTCTTATAAGAGCTTTAAAGCCAAATCTCAACCTGCAATCAGACTCCATTCGGGCGAAAGTATTTTCATAATCTTCGCACCCTTTGAAGCTAATTCTTCTCGTCAAAATCGCTTTAAATATTGTAATTTGCATTTTTTTTTCATATTTTACCTTGATAATGGAGTCATGACAACTCCGAAACGTCGGATTTTATCGTTCGTTTTTACCGTTTTATGTTTAAAGAAGTCTCTTTTAATACGAAATGAACAAGTATTTTAAAACGGATGTTAACTTTTATACAGTTAAATGAATTAATCTAATTTTTACTTCAAGGATATAACACCGAAAAGAGAAGGAAAACACATTAATTGCGGTCTAAACATTTCTAATCTACTCCTTATGAAAAAGTCTGCCATTTATTTCTTCCACTTATCTCTCAACTCAGATGCCTTGATAAGTAAAAGAAATGACACCAAACTGTAAATCTGTATTCATTTGCATTTCAAATTACCTTTTATTTATACAATGCAGCTTTAACATCATTTCTTACAGTGGATTGTGTGATCAGTTAGAAATTACAGCTTCTTCTCTGTCCTCTCACTTAGTGCATGCATAATTTTTCAACTGTGCCAGTTTCTATTCATAAATAACCTGTCTTTGTTCAATAGGGCTGCCTGGAAATGTAAGGAGTTTTTAAGACGGACTCGCTGAGCTATTGTTTAGTTCATAGCAAAATTTGTTTCACTACGTTTCGTTGCCGTGGTCGTCGTGGTTCTCTTAAAGTCCCTAATAGCAACCTCAGAATGAAAAAAACAATTCGGTTTCACAAGTTGTGAAAGAAATAAGAAGCGAAAGATTGGAGATACGATAAGTAGCACTAGGCAACATAACATCGCAACAAGAAATATCATTTCTAGTCAGTTCTACCGGAGTGAGAATTGTCGATCAGTAAGGGGAGCGAAGCCATCGAGATTTGCTGTGCCGGAGACACAAGACTATTGCCAGACTTGAGCACATCCTGAGAATTTTATCAGGTTTACTGTTTACTTTATCTTTGTAAAAAGTATTGTCACTAAGAAACCTAACACCCTGCATGAACTTAAAGCAAATCTTATGATACTGAATGCAAGGACACTCGCGTGTATATAAAATCTTGTAACGGCAATTGTTTAACAAGCCATAATATAGTGCATGTACTTAACTTAAGTCACAAATGCAACTAGGCTTTGTGTTTCTGTTTAAACCGAACATATAAAACGAGGGTCCCCAATAGATTTTTCGGGATC